ATAAGGACACATGTCATTGAATTTAGGGCCCACCCTAAATCCAGGGTAATCTTATCTTGAGGTCCTTAACAAAATCACATCTGCAAAGACTCTCCAAGGGTCACATTCACAAGTATTGGGGGTTAGAACTTGGACGTATCTTTTTGGGGACACTCTTCAAACCACTACAGTGACCTTGGGCTCTTATCATTGGCTTCCTAATAGTAAAAGGGGCTCCTGATACCTGCTTTACAGAATTGCTGTAAATATTAGAGAAAATAGGGAATTCGAGAGCCTGGCTCGTGGGGACAGGGGAGGGTAAGGCGTGATTGCTCATGGGTACAGGGTTTGTTTTGAGAGTGATGAAAGTGTTCTGGAATTAGATAGTGGTGATGTTTGCACAACTCAGTGAAAATACTAAAAAACATTGAATTGCGTGCTTTAAAAGAGTGAACTTAATGGTATGTGAATCATTTCTCAAAAAAGCTGTTATTTTTAAAAGGAGCCTGGCTCAGAGTGGTCTCTTCATAAATCGTAGCTATTATTATTATCGATACGCCAGTAATAACTATTCTTAAAATCTTTTATAATAGTTTAATGTTTTGCCTCTTTTGTCATGCCTCCCAAACCTGGTTATGAATTACATTTGAAACAGGAACCATGTATGAGATGTCTCTGCGTGTTTTATGGGAGCTGGCCCAGTACTTTGCACATGGTAGGGGATAATGAATATTTGTTTTGATTGTGCACGAGTAGTTCACGTGGCAATGACCCATTGAAAATAAATCCTGCAGTGCTTATGTGTTCACTAAGATTGCTGCCATCACTGTGTATCAAACATATATTAGGTGGGATATAACTTTTACCCATGAGCTCCTCCAAAAAAAACCTTGAAATTAAATTTCATGCCAACTGCACTTCTAACTTATGATTGGCAATATGATGTTGAAACCAAAAGCCTTTTCCCAAGAAAATTCAATTAGCAATTGAACACAGAACTAGCCGGGATAATTCATATATTCTAATCATTATCTTATTACAGGTAGTCAAAATCCATGTGCCACTATCCTGCTTGCCCTGGAGTAGTGAGAAAAATCATAATGGGAACAACATTAAGGTGCATTATTGCCTGACGCACCACTGCTTCAGAGATTAAAAACTGAATTTTAAGAAGGACAAAAACTTATCTTGAGGAAATATAGGTCTCTTGAGTTTTCACTTTGAAAGCTAACAAAATCAATTTAAAATTTTAATAGATTCCTCTTCATTTCCATTGAAGGAAAAACAACAAGATTTTAAAATTTAACTCAGGCTGCCTATTTTCAGAGCAGCAGCTCCGTTTCTCTGGTCCCTTTCCTTTCAACTTCTGCCTCCATCACTCTCGTCTCTGTTCCAGGCCCCACATCGCTCTCAAAACAGCGGTGGAGGGAGGCAGGAGAGCGTGGGGGTGGAAAAGCCCACGGCTTAGACACGTGGTCCAGGTTGGATCCCAGCTCTGCCTCAAGCCACCTGCATGCCCTTGACAGTGGGGATAATGACCAGAGCTGCTGCTGTGTGGAGATCCGATGGGTGATAAATGTAACCGGCACAGCCCAGAGCCTGGGTCCCAGGCAGAGCGCCATAAAAGATGGTCCTCATCACCCCCAACCACCCGTCTCTCTTCTGCTCCCTCCATTGACCATGCCCAGCTCACTGCCCGAGAACTTGGCCTCACCCTCCCCATGATGGCCAATCCAGTATCCTCCCAATTCTCCTAATCTCCCCAGAGAGAAGATACCCACAGTCTTCATCTTTCCCAAACATTGGATACTGTCTTCTAACCTTTCTCCCCTACTCCACCAAGGGAAAAAGACTCTCACTTTCAAAGTCTGCTGGATTTAAATTCCATACTCTGAGATACTTCCAATTCGAAGTTTACAACTAAGTATCTATGACATTCAACTTAAATTACATTCACTTATCTAGCTCAGGGCCAGTAAGGGCTGTGAGAACATCGAAATTTTGTGTCTCAGAAACCCTGAATCCTTGAATTTTGTGTCTACTGTGGTTTCCAGCAATCTCTAGAGCTAAACGATTAATTATACCCAAGACAGTCCAAAGCAATTATTTAATTAAGCTGTATTATAGGCTGCCAGTTGTTTGGAGCAAAGGGAAAGCCTTCACCCCGGTTTCTCAACATCTGGCCTTTGGATGACTTAAAAGATAAAAGGAGATATGAGAACAATTTTATGACTGAGTAACAATTTCTAGAAATTTTCCATTAACTAGAAAAACTTTTTCGGTAATTTGCTTCTCAGGATTAGAACTTGGTGACATGTTTACTGTAAGTATTCAACTTACTTAAATCCAACGCAAAATAGAAAATGTTGCAGTACAAAATGAAATGTTGGTGTCATTCTCTTTTTAGGGCAGGAAAGTCAGTTTTCTAGCAAACCTATATTTTCCCTTCAAGTGTGTTCATTTTCTACTTTCCTCCTTTTTTAAAAGTTCTCTTTCTTAATTTAGGCTTTTTCAAATCAACTTTAATAAACCAAAATTCCCTATTACACATCCTAAACTTGGAAATCTAAGTTTTATTTTATAAAGAACTGTTCAAGGAAGGAGAGACAAGCCACCTCACAGAGTTGATGACCAAAGTCATGTCTGTGTGATCTACCTGGAGACACACGGAGACACTAGTTGGGAGTGGTGGGGGGCAAGGAACATAAGAGAACAGCTATATATAATGATTTTTAATCTGTGTGATTTAAAAATAGCCAAAAATTCTTCAGTTACTCCAATCCTGTTGGCTCCCCCTGTTTCTGAACAGTTAAGTGTTATAAGTGTTGGTAACACACAGCTTAGCTCTCCAACAGTTTCAGATTGTCCCATGTGTCTCGGGTCTGTTTTCTCGATTAGCATGCAGGCGTCCTGGGTGTGAGCTCTCTGTTTCTGCCACTGCCTATGACGCTTCCTAAAGCAAGACTGGCCTAGTAAACCAGCTGAATAATAATGAATTTATTAGTGTGAATTTGCCCACCACTTGTGTTCAAAATAAATATTTGACTAATTCAGACCTCTTCCTTCCATACTATTTGAGTATTGAAATACTGTCATTCTTTTAAAATTTAAGAATGTCTAAGTAATCACCTATAAATGGGCCATCAATAAGCATAGGATGAGTGAATGACTGGACAAATAATGAGCAGCAATGAATAGCATCAGAACACCTTATAGGGTCCCTCCTTTGGAAACAAGCTCATATTATCTGAAGGAAACTCACGTAGCACCCAACTTTTTCAGCTATTTCTTAAGGATTAAGGTATACTCAAATCCTTGGGTTGATGAAGTATAAATTGTGTGTTAGAACTAACGCCATAAATCTGGAGCCCATGGATTTCATCCATAGTCCTGAATCTCCTGAAATTATCTGCAAAATATTGCAGATATATGTATATGTGAATTATTCTGGGGAGAGTATAAGGAGGTTCATGTCTCAAAAAAGGTTAAGAGTCACTGTGTTAGAAGTTTCTGGTTACAATTAGCTGACTTTTGCATGGAAATTTTATGCATTTCTATAATGGTGAGCTTGTGGTCACTTTGCTAAATAATGGAAGTTGCTAGATGCGTGGGAAATCTTAGAGCTGCCAGTTTAATATTACCCAAATTGCCATTTCTCTAAAGAAAATCCTTCTTTCAACATCAGGAAGAGCCTTTTAAATTAAAGTACTTTATTGTCCTACATTGGAAAAGAAAGAAACGAAAACCATCCTGCAGGCTGATGTTCCCTCTCACTTGAAGGAAGCTGACATTGCTCATTTCCAGGAAGCGGGACAAAGCCTCAGCTCTGTCCTGCCCCAGAAGGTCAGACACGTGTTGTGGTCCATGGCCTAATGCCACCTTCCGTCTCTGCAAGTTAGAATGTTTAGCAAATGAGTCCATTTTTTAAAAGAATTTATACTTTTATTCCCAAAACTAAATGTTAGCACCAAAGGTTCTTGTTTAGTTATTGTCATTTCCAGAAGTATATTTATCTTGATGCTGTATTTCACGTCGGGGAGGACGAAGGGCCAGTGTATGTGCAGATGTGTTAGCAAAGCATAAAACTGTCCTGAAATTGTCAGTCTTTGGAATAACATGTTAACAGAAGCCTGATCCATGGATCTGCCCTGTCATTCACAAAGAGGGCCACTACCATTCAGGCACTGACTTGGGACCTCTGCTGGGCTAAAAGTATCAACTAGTTGACACAGCAGCCCTGAGAAGTGGATGTTATTATCTCCTTGCCCAGGTGAAGAAACCAAGGCTCAAAGAGGTCGGGGTCACACAGCTAGTAAGTGGCAGAGCCAGAACTTAAACCAGATGGCCAGACTCCAAAGGCCATCTTCTCAGGCTTCTCTCAGTCGTGTTCTTCGCTCCCGTAAAGAGTGTCCACCTTTAGCCCAGATGGACCCCTGGCAGACCTCTGCCCTCAAGGAGCAGTTCTAATGCTCTGTGCACTTACATTGGTTCCTTTACTCACACATCTCCCACAAATTAAATAAGTAAAATACAAAAAAAAAAAAAAAGCATGTAAGTTTATACTCAACCTTATATCGGAATCCTTTCAAATATTTAGGAAATATAGTTGATCAGAATGAATCATTCAGGTGTAAGAATTTTCCTTTAAAAAAGATTTCCCTTCTGAATCATGTCTGCTAATTCAGATATAGTTATTTTCTAAACAGATGAAACATCTTTTCTCTCAACTCTTCTTCCCAGCAATATATCTTTGAGAAGTTTAAAAAAATAAAGACTAAATGCAGTCTATTCTTTACCATAAAATATTTGAAACAAAAAATTTCTCAGACTTTTTAAAAGATCTGCAAAATGAATCAATGCAAACATATGACACAGAAATGTCCTTTCTAATTAAAACCTGAGAATATAAATAAAATGGTATTTCTCTCTTCATTCTCTGTCTCCTTAAGAGCTGGGTCTCAGCCATAAACAAGAAGCTACCCTTAAAAATTATATATTTTTTCTTATTTCTTTTTCAACAGGGGACTTATTACGTTTGAAAATAAAACGTACATCTTAGAACCAATGAAAAATGCAACCAATAGATACCAGCTCGTCCCAGTGGAGACCCTGACGGGCGTCTGGGGATCATGTGGATCATCACACCACAACACGTCGGGCCCCGCTGCAGATATCAGGCTCCCACCACCCTCCCAGAGGCAGACAAGAAGGGTAGGAGGGAAACCCAATGTTGTGGTTTTGGGGAGCGGGGGCTCCAGCTAGGGACACCCAGTCCTAGGACATCTGGAGAAATTTTACCGTCTGGATGTTGTGTCTCGGGGTGGAATCACCCAGTTGATCTGGAGGTGGTCAGTACCGTGTGGGCAGAGCGTAGTCCAGTATTGAAACTTCCATCATTGTATTGCAAGTGTTGGCCTCAGACTCATTAAACTGTGCTGGGTGAAGTTGGGCTCAGAGGTCGACAGACTCACCATTGATTATATCCTCAGTGAGAGCGTACTGTGGGCCTAGGCCCAGGGTGCGCCCCACCATGGTAAACAAGACGAGAATAGACCCTCACCCGCTCTCAGGCAGCTCTCCTTCTACGGGAGGAGAAAGGCAATAATGGAGGTTTCTTCATTCGCAGGTCTGTTTTACAATTAGGGTCTTCATTATGATTTGCAGAATGTTCCCAGCCTTTGCCCACATGCCTGTGCAGAGGTGCATTGAGTGTGTCCACACAGTGTGTTTCTATGGGGTGTTGCTTCCCCAGTCCATGCTGCAGATGCCTGTCCTACTTACCTCCTGGGACTGTCCCATTGCTCTGTGTTCTGCTCGTCAAAGGTCTTCCCTTCTTCTCCAGAACTGGAAACAGTAGTTGCCTAATGGAGTCTGGGCTGTGCATCTCCCTCTCCGCCAAGTGGACAGAAACTCGGTGCCCCAGCACGGCATGGTACAACACCATGAAACCTCCCCCCAAATGGCTGCCTGACCCTTTCACATCCAGTATCATGTGGGCTCCGTAGGCCACAGCAGAACCCTGCTAAAAAGGAGTAAGGGCAGCCATTCCCTACGTTTGGCTGGAGGCCCTGAATTTAAATACATACAACCAACAATTTCCTGATTCTTCATCTCTGGCTTTCCTGTTCCTCTGTTGACAAGGAATCAAGAATTCATAGATATGTCGCTTGTGCTTACATTTGACAGTCTAGGGACATGATCAGGGTTCCACTTAACACGCGTTGTCTTTCCTGACTTTGAGTGATACACTGCTTAACATTCCATTTCACAGATACAGTTCCTCTTTGTTCATTGCTAATCATTTTTCTAAATTCAGATAGTGAGCGTGATCCTAAACAATTTCTTCCCATCCTTAAAATTTCCCCCATACCTGTGGATAGTGTCTGGTCCCCTCACCTGCTCTTAACTGATCTGTTTCAGGACTCTTCGTTTTAACTTTACGTTCATTCTTTCCCTCTTGGAGTTCTGCCTGTATGACCTTAACTTCCTCTGTTAACATGCTCCCAAGATTTTCAATGGCAGGCGCTCAGAACCTCTTTATCCTCTTCTTCCCCATCACACCGGAGGGGACAAACAGCCCATCAGAGACTGTGGCTCACCTTGACGTTGACACTCAGTAGAGGAGAGTGAATCTGAATCCCAGGGAGCAGCTTGAAGAGCCCCCCGCCACCACCAGCAGCTCAAGAGAGTTTTCAGTGTGCCTTTGTCCCCCGCCCATCTCAGAGGGACAGATTTAAGAGCTGGAATCATCAAGACCAGCCTTTGTGGTCCCGGGGCGTGTTTATTTTACTCTTGAAACACTCTTCCTTTGACTCCAGACCTCGGATGAGACGGGTCGAGCTGTAGCCCTTCATCATAAATGAAGGGACATTTGCGTTTTGTTTTCGAGTTGCTTTGCTTTGAGTGCCTTGTTGAATACGTGTCCCCCACATTATGAGATTTATAACCTGACAGTTTAAATGATGCTCAAATACGTTTGCTATTTCATTTAGAAGTACAAGCCCGGTTTGTACTTCCCAGTCCTATTTTAATTCTTTAACTAGGCTTACAGCTCTCTAGCACCATGATTGGCACAGTAATTTCCAGTCATTTTGACTGGGAGAGAAACGGGGAAAACCTGAATAACAATGTTGTTTTGTTAATGAGACATATTGAAGGGTAAATGAACCTTTAAATTGAAAAGGGAAGGCATCCGACACAGTTCAACTCTGTTCTCAATATTTCTCTCTAGAAATAGTTGTGATTGTTTTTATGGAAGAGAAATGCCCTTGACTTAAAGGACATCTATATAGTGAAAACGATACAAAAAATTATTTGCAAATAAGTGGAAGACTTGGGAATTGGAATTATATACAAGCTGGTTTGGGGCAGCACCTATGTAGATATGAAAGGGACGTATTCAAGTTATATGCCGCTTACCTGCCTTGCTTACTCTGCCTTTATTTTATACTCAAAAATCAATGTAACTGCAGCTAACTCATCTTGTTGATGCAGCACAGCAACTGGATTTGCTTTTTCCCAGCATTTTTCTGCCCCTACTAAATGTTAACTATTGCAAAGATTGGTTTGCAGGCCGAGATTTTTCTGCAGCTGTTTGCGCTTTTCTTCACAGAGCAGCAGCAATAAATCTGCACTCGGGGTATGCACTGGCTATAATATAAGCTTGAGCTATTGTTTGTCATTTTTACAAGGCTCTACATTAGATTTTAGTGAGAACCCCAGTTGCTTCTGGAAGGGAGCCCGCAGTCAGAGAGCTTCCTCGTCAGTTCTCTCCTCTGCAGGTTTGTAAGTCCAGCCTGAAGAGTCCTTGCCGCTCAGATCTCCTGCGACATGCTCCTTCCCTCTCCATCAGCTGTGCATTCAAGAACGCAAACTCATTTTAACATTGGCCTTGAGCAAGCTATAAGGAAGGCCAAGGCATGGTAAATCCACTACTGGGAAAAATCACATAATACGTCCCAAAGGCAAATGTCAATTATATTTGAAGTATCCTCTCTTTGGGGATTATCTGTGCTCTTCTTGCCCTCCGTTAGTACAGATAATTATGAGGTAAATGTAGAAGTCAAGGCCTTCTCTAGAAAGCAATGTTTGCTTGTGCTACTGAGTACAAAGAAGACAGCCCATCAGGGAGGCACTGTTGTGTTTCCTCAAATGCAGCCATTCTGAGCTGGACCCGTGCTATTGCTTTTGGGTTTCTAGACAGCGAGTCATATTGGTTTAATAGAAGCCACAGTAGTGGTGGTGGTGGTGGTAGTAACGATAATATATATGTAGAGCCGAATGATAGTTCAATATCAGGAACTAGCCAGAACCATTTGAAAACTCATTAATTATAGCAGGCGTACTTAATTTCTCTCTAACATAACCATCCTCACTTGCATAGCTCCTCTAAGAGACCAACCAACTTCTTTTACTGCCTTGATCCTTCTTAAAGCTTGGTAGTGGATGACAGCCTGCACCACTCTGGCTTCCTTGGCCCTGGGCTCTCAGCATCTATCAGTGTGAGTGGGGCTCCCAAATCTACAGGTGTGGATTCCTCTTGAGTCTTGAATCGATTAAAACTCTGGATAAATAAATAACAGATCTCACCCGTGCCATGGGTGTTTTGCACTCAATTTCAGTACTTCACATTTGTTCCCATTAACATTCGGTTCATCAGATTCAGCTCATTCATCCAGCTTATTGTCTCTCTTGCTTGTTAGTTCTGCAGCCTATATATCAGCCAGGCCCCATAAGCCGTATCCCACGCAGATACGATCAGGTGCTTTGTCCCCACACAAGTCATGGATAAGGATGGTGGAAACCAGGGCTCAGCTTGCAAACATTCATAAAGTGGCCTTAGAGTCAAGGCCTGGAGCCTCGGTTGAGCCGACAGAGACCTTCCCTTACTCAAAGGAAGATAACCAAACTTTTGACTCATTTATTTTGCTGATCTTGCCACCTGTGGAAGCACTGGCCCTGGTTCCATGGTGGTGGTTCTTTTGTTGTTTGGTTTGTATCACAGCTGACTCAAATCTGTTTGCCCATCTCCACCCTTACTGCCCCAAACTGTCAAACAGCTCTCACCCGCACTCTGGGCTGCCTCTTTTGTCCCCTATAATGCGTTTTCCTCCCAGCAGCCAGAGGGATACTTAAAAACCTCACATTCAAGGGCTCCCCGTTGCTCTTAGATTATCAGATTGCCATTCAACCTTCTTGCCGTGGCCCTGCCCCCTGCCCACATCTTCAGCCTCATCTCATCCACACCCTTCCCTCACTCACTAGACTACAGCCATTCTGCCTGTTGCTATGACACTCCAAGTCCTCCCCAGACTCAGGACTTCTGCTGTGCTATTCCATCTACCTGAAACACTGTTCCCGCCACCCTGTCCACAGGTACCTGCTTCTCACCCTCAGGTCTCAGCTAACTTAGTCCCTCTCCCTCCTCTTTTCCTCATTGCAGAACCCTGTTTATTTCCTTTGTTGCACTTTTCACAGACTATGCTTTATTTTTGTTAATTCTTTACTGTCACCTCTTCGTCCAACCTCCTTCTAGAACATGAGCTTCATGAGGGCAGTACCTTGGGTTTCTTGTCCATCGCTGTATCCTCTGCACTCAACACAGTGCCTAGCGCATTGAGAGCTCCCAGTAGATATTTGTGGGATGAATGAACGATACACATGTGAGTGGCCCAGATGAAGAAAGAGTTCTAGTGAGGATTCATTGTAACCCTGATCTCGACTTGCTTTTCTAGCTTGAGTTGGGTTGAGTGTCCAGTACCAGAGTTCCAGTTGCAGCGTGTTTGAGGGATATTGGCTGGGAATATTCTCGGGGAACTTGGCTGTGATGACTTCAAGAGGCCCAGGAACTGGTTCCCTCTTGAGCAGGACTCCAAGAACGCCTTCGTCTCCACCTTGGAGCAGAGACTGTTGGGCCTTTCTCAGAGGCTTACGTTCCTATCCATTTGAGGAGGGGCTTTTATTTATAACTCAAAAAATGAAAATTCAATCAAGCAACCAGTTTCAACTGTTGCTCTGCATATCCAAAATTTTAAATGTGATTTTTTTTTTTTTAACTGGACAGCCAGATAGGTGGAAATCATGTGGAGGTAATTTAAGCCTCTCTGGACGTGCAGCGGATGGGAGTGTGCATCTTTGCAGCCATGAGCCGGCCACTCCCCTGTGGCTTTTTATTATGATGTGGTTAGGCTTCTCTCTGAGCTTGCAGCTCTCTGAATTCGTGAGAAGATTTGGACTCCTCTGAAAACTGCAGAGACAGGCAAATTGCGATCATGTGTTTGTTTTCGTTATCTGAAATTGTGTATTTTCTAAATGATGAACCAAGGCCGCTTGGAAATATCCCCTGGTCGTTTATTTCACCCTTTCTCAGTCTGGAAGGTATAAACGTCTAAACAACCAGGGCCCCTTCTGAGTTTTTCAATGGGAGATTAATTTATTTTTTCATTTACAGAGCTACATTTTCTTCTGTCTGATTAGCTGGATCTGTTAATGGTTAATCGGAGTTGTGGGGGAAAAAGCGACTTCTGCTTCTTTCACACCTCAGTAAGGAAAAGGGGCAAGATCTTCACACTTCCAGAAGGTGTCTCATTTTGTGTATACCAGTGGGTACCACTGGGGCTAATCATTTTTTCCTTCATAAGGACGTATGTGTCACCATAAAGCATGCCTACAACATAGAGTTACAAAGCTGGATTTTTTTTCTTGTTGTAAAAGTATGAGAAATTATACCTTTCATGGTGCTTGGTTTTTCCTTCCTCCATAAGGTTTCCAGATTTCTTTAGGGATACCTAAATTCATGAATCAGCACAGCTGGGCGGCGGGGAGGAACACTGCTCTGATACAAACATTTTTCTTGTAAAAATCTGTTTGGAAGATCCCGGACTGATGGGGATTTGTTTTATAAAAGATGTTTCCCTGAGGATTATGTAACTGGAAAGCTGATTCAAAGCACGCCTTGGTCATTTTTGCTTTTGTCTGAAAGCGAGGTTCTTGCAGGCGAGGTTTCCGCGTTCAGTAGCGTGTGTAGCTAACTCATAAACCAGCAGCCCCAGTCAGAGGAGCAAGACCAGCTCACCCCGTTCCCTCCACTGGCGTTTGATTGCAGAAACAGAAGGCTTTGTTTTTGGTTTTTAATGTTTGCTTTTTGAGACCACCCTCTATGAATTGCTCTTTTTCTCCTAAAAATGCCTTTGGGATTCTCCCAGTAATTCACGGAAGAGTGCGACTGTTTTCTGAAACTTGATTAAAATATAAGCCACTTCAGAGGCTGCCTTTATGTGAGAGGGAGTTCATGCTTCTGCTGCCTGAGCCTTCTCCGTGTCCCTCCTCCTTGATGTATCATTTCCATATTCTTCTTAACTATTCCACTCTGACCAAATCTCTTTTTTCCCGGGGCATATTTCAGTCTTTTTTCTTTCTTGACGCTGTTTCTTTCCATTCTCTTTCTTTTGTTCCTTTCCGTGTTTCCTCCCAGTGCCTCCTTCTTGTCTGGCTCTGTTCCCTGTTAGATCAGCCTGGCTGTTCCCTGTTCTCCAGACCACCCGCCTTCCATTGCTTCTAACTAGGTTTTTAAATGATCAGCTGCAGGAAATAAGCTCCCTGGAATGGACTACTGAGCGTTTCCCCAGAAGGGGCATGCAGTTCCTGATCAAAATATATCCTCCATTTTCTCAAATCACAAAACTGGACATAAAGGTGAAGGGGACACCCATGAGACACTGAATTCTTTCATCTTCTCTAGTGACCTTCAAAAGTGCTACATATGGCCTGAAACTGTGAAACGAAGGGCCCGTTGACTGGCTCCTCTTCCAGAGATAGCTTTGCTTTTGCTTCTTGATGTGCGAGTTGTGTTTAATAATGGTCTGAACTTGTGCTGATCTTACAATCAGTGCTTCAGCAGAAAGGTTAGATTTCTTTTTGAGGATTTCCCAAACGGAAATGGAAACTGGTCACTCATGCTGAGAAGGCTTTACAGAGATTATTGGGGTTGGAGGTAGACTTCTAGATGGAACGGAGGTGTGGGAAGTGGTGGTGATGGCAAGGATGGAGTCTCACCTTAGTTAAAACGCTTGGGTCGAGAGATGTTGACAGTGTTCTGGAAGCCCCAGAGCGGTATTAAAGGAAATTAAATCTGTGTTTACTTTTGGCAGCATAAAAGAGAGACCCTCAAGATGACCAAGTACGTAGAGCTGGTTATTGTTGCAGACAACCGAGAGGTAAGAACTTGTTGAAACTTCTCAATACCATTGGTTAAAAAAACAAAACAGGGGAAAAAAATGTTTAGCAAGTTTATACTTGCTTTAATTAACCTCATTTTCTGTGAGCCCTGAAAAGCATTGTAAACACCCCATTGAAAAAGTGGTTTTCTGATATTATCAAGTATGAATATTAAAAATGTGTCTGACATTACAAATTAATAGCAAGAGCTGCAGAAAAAACAGAGTTGCTCTGTACCTAAGCTTGCCAAGCGGGCAGAATTATTTGGGGGAAATGGTGGGTGGCTTTAGACTGTATTCTAAAACATTGCGGGAAAAATTTAGTTTAAAAAATGTCCAGGGCTGGCCCCGTGGCTTAGCGGTTAAGTGCACGCGCTCCGCTACTGGTGGCTGGGGTTGGGATCCCAGGCGCGCACCGATGCAGCGCTTCTCCAGCCATGCTGAGGCCGTGTCCCATATACAGCAACTAGAAGGATGTGCAGCTATGACATACAAACTATCTACTGGGGCTTTGGGGGCAAAAAAAAAAAGGAGGAGGGTTGGCAATAGATGTTAGCTCAGAGCCGGTCTTCCTCAGCAAAAAGAGGAGGATTAGCATGGATGTTAGCTCAGGGCTGATCTTCCTCACCAAAAAAAAAAAAAAAAAAAAGTCCAGTATGTCCTAAACCGAAATGAGTGAATGAATGAAGGCTATAGAGACACAGCAGAAAAATCGTTCCTTCTGAAGTATGGTTTGATGCTGTGTTAGTTTTTTCTTTTAATGAATTTTTAATTAGCTTTTTTTAGATTATCTTCTCTGTGTTCATTTCTTGCCTCTACTACATATTATGAATTAGGTGACATTTTCTCATAGAGTCACTCAACATATATGAATGAAACAGGCTTGACCATTTCTCAGAAAACTGTTCCCGTTCTGGAAGGTCAGATTAGAGGGGAGAAGGGGGAATTTATTAACTTTTTATCCATTCTCCTCTGTGTTGTTTGACTTGTTGCCATGAGCTTCTCTTACTATTTAATTTTTAAAAACAAATATAAAGGAAATTTCTGAGGAAGTTAAAATCTGGTTGATGATATGAAGAATGGCTTTGGACTGCCTTCTGGTTGTCTGTTTTCTCTTTGCCAAAACATGTCACTGCCTCCATCATTTATGAGGCTGGAAAACTCTCAGAAGTTACTGTCTTATGAGCACTTGGCTAGGGTGAATTTCAGGGAGTTTCAGGACGTCCCCAGACGGGGAAATGACTCGGCAGGATGGGAACTCATTTCACGTAAACCAGGGAAGGTCCCAAGTGGTTTGTAAAGCCCGAGACTTCACATTTCCAGGAGCTGGGAAGATGAGATTTGATTGATATTCTTGCTGTTATTAATGCTGACATTTAAAATTATTAAGTTTCAGAGGCAAGGAAAAGATCTGGAGAAAGTTAAGCAGCGATTAATAGAGATTGCTAATCACGTTGACAAGGTAAGTTCTTTTTCGGGTAATTAAATCACTCAAATTGTGTAAATGTTTGGAAACGAGGTGGAGGGAATGAAGCACACCTTGTCTGACTTAGCAGGCACACCGGGTTCTGCCTCTGGTCCTGCCTCTGGCTGGAACGCAGACTTCCCCGTCCTCTGAGCATGGAATTCCTGGGGCCTGGAGCAGCCGCAGGAGATGCCACCCCACGCTGTGCGGACTGCGGTGGCCTTGGATACATCTGTCTCCAGGCTCTCTTCTGGCCAGGCAGAGGTCCAGGCTGAGGGGATCTTGGACTCCCCAGTTAGATCTAGAACCCCAGTAGGGTGCATCCGACCCTTTTGAGAACTCCCAAGAAGGCCTCTTCCCAGATGTCCCTGGGCAGATCCCACAGGCCCCCGGAGGGCAGGCTCTCATTTCTAAGGGGCATATACAGGCTCCACAGTCCTGGGACACAGAAATTGACTTTCAGCTAAATCAGCTACTGGAAAATCTCTCACTGAGAACTAGGAGGTCGGGAGCTCACCCTTGGCAAAGGTAGTTTCAGAGCTGGAAGAGACCCTGGAAGTCTGTCTAACCCTGGGGGTGTTTGCTCACCAGTGCTCCTTACACTACCTGTTCGCAAGGAGATGGTGAAACCGTCCACGCCACCTGCCCTTCAGCGACACACCCTGCGGGGGAGAGCATCGAGCTGTTTGGTGCTGATGGCTCTCACCCCAAAACAGAGCTTCTCACACTTGCCTGGCAGCTTTCAAAGGCATTGCTGCCTGGGTGTCTGGGTGGGGCCTGGACATGATTTTTGGACGCTAACCAGGTGGTTCTCATGTGCAACATGGCTGGCAACCACTGTTGTTACGCACCTGTAATTCTCAGCAATAGCCTGTCTGCCGCCTGTGAGGACAGGTGAGAGGGAAAAGTGATGTGGCCCATTGCTAGATCTTTCACAGCCAGGATCCTCTGAAATGGTCACATTTTACACACAGCAGTTTGAGGATGCCTCACGATAGCTGTGTTTTCTAACAACCCTATTATATTTGAATTGAGTTTTCAGAAAAATGAATGCAAGCCCTCCCAGAAATTCAGTTCTGTTCTACAAGGCCTTATGGCCAGTGCCAAGCACTGTGCATCAAGAATTCAGAGTGCATCAGACGTGGTCCCTCCACTCAAGGAAGTCACAGCTTCACACGGAAGCAGACTCACAAACCACTTAGCATGGTCCAACGTGATAGGAGCTGGGTTGATGCTGTCAGTAGAGTGCTATGGGGATGCAGAAGAGAATCTCGTACTTCTTCCTGGGGGGTCCCAGCGTCTCTGCAGGGAGGGGATCCTGAAAGGTGTGATTTCAGCGGGAGCACAGCAGGGGAGGCCCTGGCTTGCTCCTTGAGGGTCTGGACACAGCGAGTAACTCCATATAACTAAGGGGAGGTGTGTGTGCACATGTACCTACACGTATGTGCGTGCATACATGTGTGTGCACACGCACAGCTAGAGCAGGAGGAGATGAAGCTGCAGGCCCCTGAATGCCCTGCAAAGCCGTCTTGATTTTATTCTGTGTCAGTGGAGATCCGGTGAATGTTTTTAAGCCCGGGAGAGAGACACGGGATTATACAAAGCTATCCGTGCAGTTAGTGTGGAGGGTGGAGTCACCAAAGACAAACAGGGCTGGTAGGAGTCTGTTGCGACACAAATTGTGGAGACCTGACCCAGCCAGGGAAGTGAGGGTGGGAGAGGGACGAGGATTAGAAATGTTTGAAGGGACACGGTTACTGGTTTATTGAGTGGTTACTAGGCACCAGGCTCTGTGTGCTTTGCATACACTCCCAGATAGATACTATTACTCCCATTTTTAAAGCAGAGGAGGCTGAGGTTCGCAGAGGCTAGTTACATAATCTGCACGTGTTCAAGCAGCATTAAAAGGCAGGACCAGGAATGAGCCCTGGTCTCTGTGACCCCCCACAGGGGCTTTTGGCCTTGACTCTACCCCCACTTGCTGTGGGTCCCAGCCCTCCGTAACCAAGCAGAAGCAGAGGCTGAGAAGAGTGGGGGTCCAAGTGACCACAAGCTTCATTGTGGTGGAGTGGCAGGGAGACGAGGCTTCATACCCCACGGAAGCAGGGGCATGCCGAGTGGTCAGAGGTCTGGGCTTGGCGCTCAGCGAGAGGCTGTGGCTGGATGGAAGTTTGTGAAAGCCAGAAAAACACAGACGGCCGTCAGCATCCTGGGATGATACCATTCTCATCTGCCAGATCTTTGAGGCAGGTCAGACTCCCAGGCAGCCTGTGCTTGCTGATATATTTTAGTAGCTACTTTTTGAAAATTAAACTTTATGCCAAAGTCAAGTGGAGGCAGCAGGATTTTTGTAAACTGCGAGTCCTTCTGGCAGGGAGGGTGAAGGATGGAGCCCAGAGGTTCTGCCAGAAACCACTAGGGGTTACCTGGTTCTCAATCGGGGCAGTCCATTAGAATCCCTTGGTGAGGTTGGTTTGTTTGTCTATATGTTTACTTTTTAAAACACTGATTCCCAAGTCTCAGTCCAGGGACTCTGGTTTGATTGGCCTGGGTGGGGCCTTGGGCATGGATACCTTCCAGACTCCTCAGGTGATGCTAGCGTGAGGCAGACCAAGACACACAGAGCGCGAGTTCTTCTCAGGCTTTGGAAGTAAAAGGAGACCATGAACGATATTAAACCCAGTCTGGTAATTGCAGAAATTTTTTTTTTCTTTGTGAGGAAGGTTAGCCTTGAACCAACATCTATTGCCAATCCTTCTCTTTTTGCTGAGGAAAATTGGCCCTGAGCAAGTATCCATGCCCATCTTCCTCTACTTTATGTGGGACGCCTGCCACAGCATGGCTTGATAAGCCATGCATAGGTCCATGCCCAGGATCCAAATCTGTGAACCCCAGGGCCACCGAAGCAGAGCATGCAAACTTAACCACTACACTACCGGGCCAGCCCCTGAAATCTCATTTTAAAGCGATGTGCTTGGTCCTCCATTTGTATTTGTTTACATTTTATTGTATATTAGATCTTGCTTCAGTTTCCAAAACCAAAAATGAGCAATGGGGGCTTTGTTAACAGCTTGCTCTGGAAAGTAAAGAACAGTACACCCCAGAGAAGTCCTGACAGACTGGATGGAGTTGGCCAGCCCAGCTGTTTTCTTGTTTCTGGCAGCGAGAGAGCTGAATTGCCGAGCACACATATGCATCCGCCCCCAGCAGACCCTGAAGACCCTGGTGGGGGTCCCCAGGCCCCTCCAGATGCTCTCTGCCCCCAAGTCTGCTAACTGATGAGCCCTGGCTCTGGCGAGCGTTCCAGAGTTCAATTTTGCAACTCTCTAAGTGGGAGTGTCTCGGTCCAAAAAACAGTGACTGTTCCGGGGGCGATTTCCTCATTGGCAGAAATCTTGGCTCTTCTTGGCCATTCTAAATAACTGCTTGGCTTGCTGCATTGGCTTGAAGGGAAGAGGGAGAAGGACATCTCACTGAAAGTCCGAGAAGTGATTTAGTGACAAGGGTGACATTCTGCGACGTTCAGGAAATTCCCCCTGTAAGTGAAACACAGCACGTCTGACACTCGTGCTTGTAGACAAACCCTTTGCGTAGGAACTAAGAGACCCTTCCCCAGGCCCTGATTAAATGGGAAGGTGGGAGCAGCGGGTGTGTGCCTGCCCAGTGAAGTGATTGCTGAAGCTTCACCTTTTTTACTTCACCTCCGATCTGTCCTTATTCATTAAGAAGTTAGCACCAGCTGCAAATTCTTTAAGGCTGACCCTCCGTGACCTACTTCTGAAAGGACTCATCTTCCACGCATTCATTGCCTCAGGTAATTTCCCTCTTGTGTGAGTTGTCTTCCCTCCTTTCCCCAGCCAGTTGCTGAAGGATGCAAGTTCCCATGTTGGACCCCAGGGGACTGCCCTTTAATTCTACCCATGTTTTTTCAGATCCACTTCTTCCAGAAAGCCTTTCTTGACCTCTCAGGCACAGCATCCTCTGAACTTCCTGTTTGCACCCTTTTCCTGGCAGTTCACTCTATTGGAGTTAACTGTAAAAATGGTTTAAGTGTCCCATGCCTTGAGCCTCCTGCTGACCTCTGAGCAATTGGGAGCCAGGGGCAAGAGCATTCTAATCCTTGTTCTTTATGCCAGTGCCAAGCCTAGCACACAGCAAGAGCCAAGCAAATATGTGTTGCTGCTATGTGAATGGGTGAGTTGATTCAGCTGGTCTCAGACTGTGTCCACATATATTCTGGGATTCATCGGCCAGGCAGGAAGCTGCCAAACTCCAGCTGAGCTTCTCTCTGGGTCTGGGGTCACAGCGGGTCATCTTGGAAGGGTGTCTGAGCACTCGCATAGGGTAGTTATGTTACTTAGTGGTTTAAAACCTGGGCGCCAGGACCAGCCGGTCTGCATTCAAACTGCAGCCGTGTCAGTCATGTCTTGAGTGGTTATCTGGTCCCTCCGTGTCTCAATGTCCTTGACTGTAGAGTGGGAATAATAATTCTTAGCTCATAGAGTTGTCGTGAGGACCAAGAGAGCTACAGCATAAAAAGCACTTCACGCTGTGCCTAAGATGTAGTCGATGCTCATTACATGTTAGCTATGGTTATTGTTATTAGGAAGAACCAAAAGGAAGCCACCGGCGGCCCTAGGAAGAACATTCAGAGCAGGCAGTAGAGGGATTGTGTGTGATGACTGTAAGTGAGTTTAGCATATATCACAGTTAATCAGTAGCACTGGTTTTGGAGAGGAAGGACCATATGTTATATACGTCTTCAAATGAAATTTGTTCCAAGGATGTGATTTGAGAGGGCTAATGGATGGAAATTGCAACCCATCGTTATTGTTAAAAGCTCCTTGGTTAGTAAGCACTGAGATAGCTCTGAAAAATGATGACAGTTGGTTCTTTGCAGACCTTAGTTACTACTTCCATAAAGCCCTCGTCGGAGGCAAACATGATGTCCCCTTCATAGATGACAACCCTGAAGGCCACAGAGGGCACCTGACCCTGAGGATGTCACTCAGCAAGCTGGTGTGGACATCAGCACTGGATCTCCTACAGTTCTGCTTCTGGACTCTGTTACCTTTGTGTATAACACAGCTGAAAGTGCAATCTCTCCGCCCAACGGCAGCAGCCAGGCATGTGCAGTCAGAGTTCCAGAGGAGTCCAGAACTCAATTTTGCCTGGGAAGCCTCAGCTGGGAGCTTGCAAGTGGATACCACAGGCCAAGCGATTCTTGATTAAAAACAAGCTGTTGGGCAGCATTTTGGTCGTATAATGGTCTCATTAACTTATTAATGTAATGCCCATAATTGTTATCTACTTGAAACGAAGTTGGACTGCTGCATTCAGTTTATATTCTGTGATGTAGTTCGTGCTCCAGTGGTGTTCTTCTGCTAACCTAATGCTCACCAGATGCCTGTGGGGAGATCGGCAAGGGAAAAGATGAGCCTGCCTGGTGTGGGTCAGACCCCGGGGTCAGATGCTCAGCCTCGGGGAGTTTATTGCACTTGAGCTCACCACATTGGAATGGGGCTCGACGGTCAAATGCAGAGCTTCTGTGATTTTTGTTACTTATTGGTCCAGATGCTTCTAGCAACTAAGAATAGGATGTGCTCACATCTGGAGCTTGACTTTGGCTGCTATCACCAGCCACATCTTTCTCCGTGGCTACCTGGAGTATCAGAAGATGAGGACTTTCTCATTGTGTACTGCCTCACACATCACGGGCATTGAAAGATTTTACAGCCAGACAGGTGATCCCATGTCCTCGCCCCTGGGCCCTGAGCACAGAGCCACCTTGCTGTCTATGTGATGCACATGGGGCAGCAAGGTAGTTGGGGGCAAAGGGTAGTTCTTATCTCTACGTTGACCAATCATCCTGCCCCATCAGCTCGTCTGGGACAAAACTACCCCTTGCCATTGGAAGAGTTCCTCTTCCTGTCTGACCCAGGACAACCTGCCTGTGGAGAAAGGGCTGTAGGCTGAAGTCAGGAATACGTAGAGATGGGGAACAGAAAGCCAATGAGAAGACTTGCTTTGAGTGGTGTACCCGAAGCTTTATGTCACAAGCCTGTAAAAAAGGAACTTGTTTGACTGGGTCTTTCCCCTTGAATGGTCATTCAAGTTCCCGAAGAAGGGCTCTGTTTATGCCTTTATCATTCTCAAAGCTATTGATTTGTTCATTTAATTAAAACCTCCCAGGTTGATTATAGGTGACAGAACATGATAGTGTCAGCCAAGTCTGAGTCTTTGCTGAAAAATTAATACAGATTCATTTTCAGTAACTCATAGAATATTTTGCTTAAAATGAACAAATTATTGTCCTTGGCAGAAAGTCTGCAAGATCCTAATTTACTCATTGTTTTTCTTGCAGTAGATATTAACTGGCAGTCCTTAGCTATAATGTAACTACTTTAGCTGTAATACACATCTATATGCACATTTTAAATCACCAATGAATCATATGAAATGTGTGCTTCCGTGCAAATAAGAGCAGACATCAAAGGCTAATAACTTTATCTCATTGGTCAACAACATTTGAGAACCCAGTTAACACATGCCTTTGCATCAGACACTGCAAATATTTTTTAAATTCTAATGCCACAGTAACAAGAGACCACAGAGATATTTTTTCATATCATGTCAATAAAGTTCAAAACATGCAAATCTGTTCTACTCTGCATTTTAAGTTCTCTTTAATGTGATCCCCAAAGGATGCCTGTCTTCCTCAGTTTTACAGACCACTAAACATTCGCATAGTCTTGGTCGGCGTGGAGGTATGGAATGACATCGACAAATGCTCTATAAGTCAGGACCCATTCACAAGCCTCCATGAATTTCTGGACTGGAGAAAGATGAAGCTTCTACCTCGCAAATATCATGACAATGCACAGCTTATCAGGTAGGGCATCCACTGTCTCTAGTTTGCTGAAAGAGTGCCCTCAGCATACCTGTTCTCCTGTTAGCTTCACCTGCACAGCCCCTTTTTTTGTGTGTGTGTGTGAGGAAGATTAGCCGTGAGCTAATATCGGTTGCCAATCCTCCTCTTTTTGCTGAGGAAGATTGGCCCTGGGCTAACATCCGTGCCCATCTTCCTCTACTTTATGTGGGATGCTGCCACAGCACGGCTTGACAAGCGGTGCGTCAGTCTGCGCCCGGGATCCGAACCTGTGAACCCTGGGCCGCCAAAGCAGAGCATGTGCACTTAACTGCTATGCCACCAAGCTGGCCCTTCTAGTCTTAGTCTTGATATAAAGTTGTCCTGAGTAGGCTATTTTTTTTAAAAGCTCATTTTCTTTCATTATTAGTGAAAAATGTTTATGCATGATCTGAAGACAGTACATTAGAGTGATTATTGCCAGCTGCCTGGAGAAAGATAATCTTCATTCCTCCTTCTGTTTTACTATTACTCTTTGGTTTTCTAGATCAGAGAATACCAGCAGTATAGCGTATTAATCTTCTGTTTGCCTTTCAATCAATGCATATTGGGCACCAATTAGGAACTAAACATGTTTTAGGGGCTTGAATGTGACTGTAACCAACACTGTAAACCTCCTTGCCCTTGGGAGTCTCCAGTCTATGGGAGAAGACAACAATAAACAAGGAAATTTCAGAGAGCAATAAGTGTCATAAAAATAATAAAATGAGGGAAAGCACAACTGTAATGTAATGTAATATAATGTATTGATAAGATATTATAGAGCCAGCCCTGGTGGTCAAGTGCTTAAGATTCAGCACTCTCACCACCACAGCCCAGGTTCATTTCCGGATCAGGAAACCATACCACCCATGTGTCGGTTGTCACACTGTGGCAGCTGCATGTTGCCGTGATGCTGAAAGCTATGCCACCGGGATTTCAGATACCAGCAGGGTCCCCCATGGTGGACAGGTTTAAGTGGAGCTTCCAGACTAAGACAGACTAGGAAGAAGGACCTGGCCACCCATTTCTGAAAAAACTGGCCATGAACACCCTATGAATAATAGCAGAGTATAGTCTGATATAGCACTGGAAGGTGAGAGGATGGCACAAACAGAGGAGGCAGGGTTCCGCTCTGCTGTACACAGGGTCGTTTGGAGTAGGAATCGATTCAATGGCACTAACAACAACAACAACAAAAGATATTACACATAACCTTTATATTTAAAAGAAAAAAACGTTCTTATCATAATCTAAGTTGATATGGAGTAGATTTTTCCTGAAGGATAAACTTTTTATTAAAGTCTTTAAGCAGTTTATGCCATTATTCTTTTGTTCTCTTGTAGCTCATATCACTGAATCCAAAGCTTCAGAGTCAGAGACACTTTGGCAAATTGAACATTTATGGAAGGTTAAAAACCAGTCCTACCCCATCCTCACTTTAGAAAATGCCTATGTCTGAACTGAGGCTGTTGGCCTTCTCTGATAATTTACTTTGGCCATTTTCACAGGGTTGTTTTTTTTCCCCCCCGCCTTGGATATTTGTGGTTGCCTCATATTTTATGCATTGATTAATCCTGAACTACAAAAAGTAGAGTTAGAGTGTTTTTTTTTTTGCTTTTCTCCCAAATGGATTCTGTCCAACTTGAACATCTGGAAATAAATTAGCCTCTTATATAACCTTATTATTTAAAAGGTTGTATATATATATATAATTGTATAATATATACAATTGTATATATCTGTACCTGTTAAAATTATATAAATGTATCTGTTAAAATGGTCTATATAGATGCAAATATAAAAGCTGCAATCCCTACTACTGTACATATGAGTGTAATAGGATGAGTGGATGGATGGATGGACAGATGGACGGATGGATGGATGGATGGATACATAGATGCATACATACATAGATGAGGTTTTATATATATTTACCCCCTTTTGTCCAATTGACCACTGCCAAAATATCTAACTTTTCAAATAATATGTGTAAAATCTATGTATGTACATGGTCAAGGTAACATGGGAAGTCATTTGTTTCCCTTAAAGGAGATCAAACAAATACAAACAACATTTAATTTTTAATGCATGAGGTTGGAATTAACAGCGCTTGCATTAAACAGGCCTTGATGTCATTAGACTCACTGATCAAGATTCCATAAAAAGGGAAAGCCTGCAGCTGAGCCATGAGGTCCCCTTCCCAAAGCTTCCTCCCAGGGTGCCGAGGCTGTGTGGGGGCTTACCTTATTCTCCGCTGGCTCTGGAGGAGCAATCATTTTTCTGCCAATTTCACTTTTGCAAGCTACCTTAGCAGGACATTTTGAAAGAGTTTGGGTTTCTGGCTTCCTTGTAATGTTACACAGGAAAGCAAGAATCAGCTACAACAGAAAAGCTAGTAAACCATCTAATGCATTTCCCTGAGTTAACAGTGATTCTCTGCGACTCTTTTCAGCTCTCCCATCAGCAGACATGGTTTAAAAGGAGCAGCTTCCCGCAGTCCATTAGGAAATAGGCGGGATACAACTTATAAAAGTCATGACTGGTCTTGAAAGCAAAAATCTGAAAGGATTATGGGACCATGATGCAACTGGAAAATAAATTTTAAAGGAACTAATGATAAAAATCCCCTGTAAACGTACCCTCATGCTGCTATATTCGTTTTTGCACATGCTTTTGCGTTCCTGTCAGAATGCAGGAATATCCAACAGAATTTCAAATATTAGGAAATGTCTTCATTCTCTATTAGTTTAAGAAAGTCTTTTCTTTTCTCTCCTAGTGGGGTTTATTTCCAAGGGACCACCATCGGCATGGCACCAATCATGAGCATGTGCACGGCGGAGCAGTCCGGAGGCATCGTCATGGTAAGCCCGGAGCACCAGGGAGCTGACCGTGGTGTCCAGGACCCATTTCCCGTGATGATCTCTCAGGAAATCACTACTTTTATCAGACTTGGTGAAATTAAGTCCTTTCCTTTACAGCTTTTTAAATTGAATTCTGCCCTTTTTCTAACTCTGTTTGTGATCTTACATATCCCACAATATTTTAGGGACTGTTTATAAAATGCTTCAAGTTGCACACAGGAAAGGTGAGTGTGTAAAAATAGCTCAGTGGAGGCAAGCCTGCCCCTTTTATGGAGAAAAAGTTTCAACTGGGATTTTGGTCAAAGCATTCCAATCCAGGAATTCCTCCCCGCATTGGATGAGCCAGGGCACTGGGGTTGCCCTCGTCACTCCACTTGGGTGAGACTGTGGTCTCGCCAAACATTACTGTTAGAATGGTTTTTTGATGGTTCTGCCTCCAGGCCCAATAGCCAAAAGTCTGAGGTTTTTAACTATTTACCACTGCAAATGCTTTACGTACCTCCTAGCCAGTGTCCAATTTGTCTTTATAATAACCTTGTTTTTGGAAGGCAAAGACTTAGGTTTATTGTTTTACAGGGATAATTTTGTCATATATGGGCTGTATATGTTTGTAAAAGGAAGTAAAAATGGGAAAACTCTTTGGGACTTGTTTCTTATGAATGGAAGAGGGAGGTAGCTTGTTAGGCTGCCCAGCAGGGGACTCCCGCTCCACTCCATCAGATAATTAAAGGAAAGGTTTTAATTCTGGTCAGGACAGCTGGTGCTATTCCTGCTCTGAAAATGTAGTGTCCCCTTTGCACCAGCTCTCAGACAGGGAGTATCCTCAGAGATCATTCCACCGTTTTCATTAAGCAAACAGAACTTTACCCTTCCAAGAAACCGTGAATTCTTCCACATTTTTCAAACAGAACATTTGTGAATATTCTGTTGTATTAAAGTGCGGAAGGAGTAATGTTCTGCTGACTATTATTTTCTCTCTCCACATACTGCCCAACCTAATCTTCTTAGTGAATATACACAATGAATATTTTCTTCTTCTCTGGGCAGTGTTGGTAATTCATGTAAACCTGTACTAAATTTATAGGCTAGAGAGGCTGTCTGGGGGGATGGCACCCGCTCATTAGATTTCTGGCTTGAACAGGCTACCCTCTGGTTTTTTTGAACCTGGAAGCCGTGTATGTGATCTCCACCATGGAAGTCATCGGAAAGTTTGGTTTTCATTGGTGCCAGGTTAATTTCAAGTCAGATCCCAACTGTATTCTTGCAGAGCAGCCTGTGACGTTTTAAGAGGGAATAATTTTCTGTTTCATGGCTCCATGGTCAGTTGCTACTGACTTAGCCACTTAAAATTGGCATGAATATTTTTTAGAGCTAAGACTGAATTCCTCATAAGCGTGGCAGGTTCTGCTGCTGCGGGGTGCTTGAGCCTTCTTATAACCAATCTGATGATATTAAGTGGCTTTCTTCAGTTCATATCCCTTATTCTGTTTCCATACAAGCATTTTATCAAGATTCTTTCCTTAAAAGCAATAGGGAAGCCTAATTTTTTTTGAATGGATTAAATGTGGCAAATATAAACAAATATGTGTACTGCAATAAGAATCGAGTCAAGGCCAAAGTTAATCAACAGGAAGTATGTTGGACCAACTTGGCCGTGGTTAGGATCATCCTTAGACCCATTCCCTGCTAACTCCACATGTAAGAGAAGCATCAAGCTGGATGAAAAGGCCACAGCTCCTTTAATTTCTATAAAACTCATTAGATAAGCAAGATCAACATCTTGACCAGATCTAAAACTTCTAGACTAACTCTATCATGTCTCTAAAGTTAAATTCGTGGGTCTTACACGTGACCATGCCTCATTCAAGGACTCACAAATCTGAGAGGAAGGAAGTCCTGTAGTAAGGAAGCAGAATTCCTAACCAGATTGAAAATATGAGTTCTGGTACTGTTTCTCTATTTGTTCAAGATGGAGCAAATCATTAATTTTAGTAGCTTAAAGCCATGCCTTTGTATCTAACCGGACTAAAACAGTCTTGGTTTGGGGACAATGCCATGAATAAAGAGGTAGGGTTTTTTCTTATTACAAGTATAAACTGTTTATCAGGGTCTCTTATGAGACATTCAAGACATTCTGTTTATAATCATCTCTGCGTGAAAGAATGTAAAACAATGTGAGAATTAAAAGCAAAACCAAGATATTCAGTGATACAAAAGAATCAGATGTAGAGTAGTTTTTTAAGGGTGAATTCCTTGAATTTTGTGCCAAAGCACGCTAAATTCAGTCCTCCACATTCTAAGATTGACTACATTCCCTTCGCCAGCATGTGTTATTCTTGAGAATTGATTTCCTGAAACATTTGTGAAGCTTCCTACAAAAGGAAACTGTAAAATCTAAACAAAGTAATTTATTGGGAATTTCATCTATTCTAAGAATAACTTGGTTCCTTGACGTGCCATTCTTTTCTTAGATTGAGGGCTAGAGAGAGAGGCAGCTACAGCTGTAACCACCTACAAATCTATACAATCTGATATGGACACACCATTATCGAGAGGCCCCACAAAGCTTACTTGTATCAGGAATAATGCTTTCTCTAAAACACAGTATCACTGTTTCCTGGAAGCCTTTTGGAAAACCTCTTATCTCTTTCCTGGGTAGCACAAAGCAGGATTCAGATAAGGTACGTTCATTACTCCGTGGTGTGGAGGTCTTTTCAGAAACACCATTCATGGGCATGATTTCTGCAAATCACATTCACTAATTAACTAACTAATTTTAGTTTGTTAAAGTTAAGTCACAGTATTTTTTTAGTTAATTTCTAATATCATTTAACCAAGCCATCCATGTGCTCTGCCAAGTTAGGGGTGGCCAAGCAGTGCTTGCTGAATGGATGAACCACCTTCCCAAACCAAGCAAAAGGTTGAGTGAGCCCCCTGCAGCAAAAGTCAGAGAATTAGGGCACCTCCATCCATTTCCAAAATCTACCTGACAATACAAAGGGCCAGCCGAATGAGGCACAGCTGGATTACAGTCTTAGTTCAATGGGTCTTCAAACAGATTACTCAATGTGGTTAGCTTTTCTTGTGAATTATTATGAATTTTCCAACTATCCTTCTCTGCTAAGCAGACAGGAAGAGGCATGCTCAGTACCAATTGCTCAGGTCTTACTTAGAATGTCACGAAGTGTGCTTCCCCTTACCAACTTTGTATCAGCATCATCTAATCCAGGATAAAATGGGAATTTTATTACCCATGAAGGAATGAGATGGTTCTTCCTATGATGTAGGACAACTTTTTGCTTCGTTCAATACAATGGTGTTTTCCGAGAGATTGTAGGAAACAGGATGGAGATGATTGCCTTGATTATTTCATGTAAAGACACAGGAATCTTACACGTATGCATGAGGTTAAGTTTGAACTAAATAATGGGGCTCTATGTTGGTTCCTTATAGGGGAATGGATTCAGTCAAATGTTAATGAAAGGTAAATGTCTGGGAGGAGAGGGAACTGGGAAATAAGGCCAAGGAGATGTGAACTATACATGTATGCTCTTATGTTTTCTTTGAGGACCATTCAGACAGCCCCCTTGGTGCGGCTGTGACCCTGGCACATGAGCTGGGCCACAATTTCGGAATGAACCATGACACCCTGGAGAGAGGCTGTAGCTGCAAGATGGCTGCCGATAAAGGAGGCTGCATCATGAACCCTTCAACTGGGCAAGTACTGATGCTCCCAGCTGCTATTGAAGTCAGGCACAGCTTGACATGCATATTGGGAAACAGCTAGGCAAAAAGTTCCCTGGTTTTCTGGCCAGAGCACCCATGGAAGCTTCTGGAAATAAATTCCTTCCCAAGTAGCAAGAGTGAACTGTGCTACTCTGAGAGAGTCATAGGCCACCAGATTACAATGCCATATGGCATGAGGACTGACCTCTTCCCTAAGAAGTGGTAGGGATGGACGCTGTCTTTGTTTAGAAATTGTAAATTATCCTACAAGCCCAGCAGGTGTTTTTTGTTTGTTTATTTGTTTTTTGTTGATGTCATAATAGTGTATAACATTGTGAAATTTTAGTTGTACATTATTGTTTGTCAGTCACCGTATAAATGCATCCCTTCACCCCTTGTGCCCACCTCCCAACCCCCTTCTCCCTTGTAACCACCAAACTGTTCTCTCCATCCGTGTGTTAGTTAATCTTCCACATATGAGTGAAATCATGCACTGTTTGTCTTTCTCTCTCTGGCTTATTTCACTTAACATAATACACTCCAGGTCCATCTATGTTGTTGCAAATGGGATGATTTTGTCTTTTTTATGGCTGACTAGTATTCCTTTGTATATATATACCACATCTTCTTTATCCAATCATCAGTCAAGGGACACTTGGGTTGCTTCCACTTCTTGGCTATAGTGAATAATGCTGCAGTGAACATAGGGGTGCATAAGCCTCTTTGGACTGTGGATTTCAGGTTCTTTGGATAAATACCCAGTAGTGAGATAGCTGGGTCATAAGGTATTTCTATTTTTAATTTTTTGAGGAATCTCCATACTGTTTTCCATAGAGACTGCACCAGTTTGCATTCCCACCAGCAGTGAACAAGGGTTCCCTTTTCTCCACAACCTCTCCAACATTTGTTGTTTTTTGTCTTGGTGATTATAGCCATTCTAATGGATGTACGGTGATATCTTAGTGTAGTTTTGATTTACGTTTCCCTGATGATTAGTGATGTTGAACATCTTTCCATGTGCCTATTGGCCATCTGTATATCTTTCTTGAAAAAAATGTCTGTTCATATCCTCTGCCCATTTTTTGATCAGGTTGTTTGTTTTTTTGTTGTTCAGTTGTGTGAGTTCTTTATATATTATGGAGATTAACCCCTTGTCAGATATATGATTATATATACTTTCTGCCAGTTGGTGGGTTGTCTTTTCATTTTGATCCCCAGCAGGTGTTTTTTATTTGAGCCTACCGCTCCAGCGCCCCAGCCATCTGAGGGCCTGGTAAACCCACTGGGCAAGGTGGGTCTCATGTCCTTCAGAGGGTGCTGGGTAGGAGGTGCTTCTTCCCCGGCCTTGGCCTAGGGCACATCTGAAGTGTGTTAGGACCTTGGGGATTCATGGTGTTCCCACCTCTGATACCGCATCACCTTATCAGGTCTGAGAGGCTTACATGAAGTGACTTTTCTGTTTCAGTAAATTGTGTTGTTCCTCCTTATTTAATGCCTTTCTGAAACTCAGGACTTGGTTCACCCGGAAAAAAAGGAAGACAGTTTCATTATTGGAACATTCAAATGAGGTAAAAATAGATGTGATTTGGAGTGATTACAGATTCTGATGTGTTCTGATACCTTGAAGGGCCCATCCCAAACTAGACTGTGGTGCTAACATACGAGGATTTTCATTAGTAAAGGAAAACGCGCACTTGCTGCAATACCATAATCTTTTTTTGTACATTGAAGCCTTCCCAACACTTATCTTCATGGCACTTCCCAGGCTGAGCCTGCTCTCTGGGTTTCCTGAAAGGAAACAGTGGGAGCAAGAAGCAAGGCTGACCGGCAGCCCCAAGACAGGCCTTCATGAAGACCTGCTGGCCAAGGGGCAGTCACGGTGTGAGGGAGGACATCTGCCAAAGAGGGTTAAAAGTCCCAGAAGAGGGACGCATTGTTACAGAACGTGGTTATGCTTTTGCAAGCGATAGCCTTGTGGGCCTCCTGTCAAATGGCTTGTAGGGCATCACGTTGCCCCTAAAACAAGGACTGGCAGAAGTGCACAGCTCACATCGTAGGCATTGTGCTTCGTGTGAGCTGTGGGTGAGGCATCTGATTACAGCAAGTGACTGCTTCTTCCACCCATCACCACCATCAGCCAAAGCCTTCAGGGGGCGTCTTTTTTGCTCTTGGTTCTGCCTTAAGCACAATTCATGGGAGTTAGTGAGACCTAGTAGAGGAACTTGCTCTCTGAGTCTGTGATGACAGAAGCTAAGGACCTGAGCCCGAAGTGAAAGTCTCTTAGGCCGACACCAACAGGAAATGAAATATTGCATAACTCTAGATACTAACAAGTGGAGGTCCCCAAAGGGAAGCAGGTTACTCTGAGAAGTAGTGTGCTCCTTGCCATTTAAAGTCTACAGGCAGAGGCAGAATAACTGGTGGTTGGGCATTTGGGGCAAAGAATTCCTTCTTAGGGTGTGACGTTGTCCAGTGGCTTATGAGCATCCTCTGTTTTCAGTATTCCACCAGCCCAGACAGAGCCCAGCATCATTGGCCAGGATGCTGTGTGAACCTCAGAGAATGAGGTTGGTAGGAAGCTGACGTGCAACTGAGTGATCTCCGTGCTTTCTTGTTCTTGATGAACTCAAAGTGGCCACAGGAAATTCATTCTGTGCTTAATTTCCCTGATTATCAAACAGATATAAACATATCAGCCTATATGCCTCCAGAAATGGTTCTCAGTCATGAAGAAGATTATACTGTTAATGGTTTTGAACTCTTGATAAAAAAAGACCAATGAAAGAGAGGAAAATCTAGATTGGGAACATTAGAGTGGGATTGAAGAGACCTGGAAACACCAGTCTGACACCAACTGTTTTTGGTAATACAGGCAACTTAGTAACCCCTCTGGCCTTTATGTTTCTCATTAGTAAAATGAGTGAGTCAACCTTTATCCTCCCTTCCTTCCTTCCTTCTATCCATCCATCTATCCATCCATCCATCCATCCATCCATCCATCCATCCATCCATCCTTCCATCCATCCATCCTTCCATTCACCCACCCATCCTTCCACTTATTTCTTCACATATTAAATAAATATTTTTGACCCCTGTGCTTATTGTTGTGAGGAATGCACAGATGAGGAAGACCCTATAGCTCTAAAAATTATGTGATTCTGGAGACACAATAGCAAGGCATACTTTCTCTTACTCTCTATAATTTTGTGTAAAGCTCTTCAGATTGGAAAGTCTTCATGACAGTGTTTAAGGATACAAGTCAAGTTACCCTGGAGATGTTTAAAAATCGTAGGTAGAAATGGTATTGCTAAGAGCTCAGCAAATCATTTAAAAGGCTTCTTTTTTTTCGTAACAGGAGTTTGCTATAGCCTTCACTTGATTTATACCTTATTAGTGATGCCTCAGTTTTCTCTTTTGCTGAGCTTGTGCTTCTGTGTAAGTCTTTTCTATTTGGTTCTCATTTATGATCCCACATTCCTGTCCAGAGAGTAGTGTTTTTAATTTTCTCATATGGAAAGAAACTTCCTAAGCAAGTGGGTGAATTAATCACAAAAGCCCACAGCGAGGGGGAGGTCAAGCGGCCCACTCACCCCTCAGTCATCCATCACCCATTGTAGAATTTCCAGGCTGCTTTTAATCTCCACGATTATCTCAACATGGTCATTCTCTTACCTCATAGGGTCCCCATGAGGGTGGGAGAATGGATGAAATGAGATCATGTGTCTTTGTAAGTTGTAAATCACTCCACAAGTGTACAGTGGTATTATTATTATTTAGCTCCCAGGGACGTTGGAAATATTGAAAAGGTAAAGGCCTTTTTCAGAATTCCTGCTTATAGTTGCTGGAAAACACTTCCAGTGCGATGTAATGGTCACTCAGCTACGCACCCACAGTTTCTGTGTGAATGGCTCATTTTAAACTGGCCCATGTCCAAACACCAGCCCTCCTCCTGACTTCCCCCCACTACTGATTTAGGCATGAGTGGCAAATGTTAAAACTGTTATTTAAGTCTTAGCCCCAAAGGGGACTCGCAAAGAGATGCATCAGTGACTGCTTTAATGATATTAAAATCTCCCAGAATCAGAAAGAACCAGGCGTTACAGATGGTTTAAAGGGGGAAAGAGTGTCCCTTAATATATATACCTTGTTTATTCCTTATCAAAACGTTCCAGAATCCTAACTCTGAAAACATTCACCAACTGCCATCATTGACAGTTGGACCCGAAGACCTGAAAATACTAGGAATGAGTGGAGTCCTTTTAAATACGGGCGTTGTGATTTCAGTTGCCTGTTACAGGACTGGTCAGAGGCGGTTTCCTTATGGCTTGTATCATCCGTTACCACGCGTCTTTGAGTGTGTGTGAGAGTGTGTGTTTTATGTCTTCGGATGGTTAACATTAAGACCTGTCTTGGAAATTACTCTTTGGCAAAAGCAGTATCTGACGATTCGTGTGGGAGTTGCAGCTCAGTTGAGTCCATCCATTAATGAGCTTCTTGGAGCATTTGGTCTTAGGGGGTTGAGGACTAAGTATGCCACATTTATGGGAGTAAGAAAAATGTGAATAATTTGAACACTTTGGGAAAAGAATATTTAGCATAATAGTAAATGTCACTTCCTAGAGTGGGGGAAAAAAAGCAGTATTAACATTCAAAAATTACTCACACAGCTTCCCTTATTTATTGCAGACAGTTTTCTGTTGAAGTGAGAGCTGGAGTCCTAGAGCCATCTCATGAGGGAGCTCAGCTCCTGCGTCTTGTCATGCGCTGTGGTAGATGTTGGGGTTATGGCCGTGAACATGACAGACTCGTTTCTTCCTTCACGGAACTTGCATTCTAGTGAGGAAGACAGAACTGAAAAGCAGTAAATAAAACAAGTGCAGATTGGAAGGAGTGCTGTGAAGGAAGCGAATGGAGAGGATGAAAGAGACACGTGGGCTGGGGGACCCAACTTTAATTGGGGGTGTGGGGAAGATCTCTGTGTGAGGGTGACG